ACCAGCCATTCTTCCAGAAGTCACTGTGTTCTCCTTATCACTATCTCCTAACATCTCTCGGCCTTCCTATCAATTTCCAGCTGACCTCATTAGTGCCTTCCTTTACAACTTTATAACAACTTTTGCAGATTCCCACACATTTTCCATTCATAATCTAAAATTGCATTGCATTGCGTTAAAGTTGTTTTAGAAATATTGTACTGTATAATTCAGTAATATGGATGTTATGTTAATAAGAAACAATGCACACCTGCATCTATGGGAATTAGAATAAATCATATAGCTAAAAATACCATATGGTTGATTCTTCACATAAGCAGAAAAGGTGTCAGACACTTTTAATGCAGGTTGTTGCTAATCGAACAATTGTCTTGGAGATTGAGTGACTGGAGCCTTCCTGTTGAGGTCTTCGGTGGACATGTCCAAGCATCTGGTAGAAGCAGAACTGTTTTGATTCCAGAGAAGTAGCAGCTCAGTTCCAAGAAACAGAAATCTATGTATCAGTTCTGCCTTTGACAATTATGCCTCCCCATTAGCATTCCAAGTTCCCACACTGCAGGAAATATGTGATTGCTGGATGACAACTCATGTCAGCTTAAGTTGGGGCAGAAATCAAATTTTGGAAAGCTGCTGGAGTATATGAATTGGCAAAGTCTAATAGGACTCAGAATTAATGTTTGGTAGTATAAGTATTCTTTGTGAACTCCACTAACGTGTGTTAATTAAGGATATTTCACTCAAAAAGAGACTTTTTGGATTGAAGGAACAAGTCAATGGAGAAACAATAGAAAAGCAAGAAGCCGGTCATTGTCTAAAGACCAGTGGTGGGATTCAAATAATTTAACAACCGGTTCTCTGCCCTAATGATTTCTTCCAACAATCAGTTCACCAAACTGCTCAGAAAGTTAACAACTGGTTCTCCTGAAGTGGTGTGAACTGGCTGAATCCACCACTGCTAAAGACCCTAAACTGATACTTTAATTCTCCTTTCTCCTAAATTGTTTGGCCTGCAGATCAGCAGTTGGAGGCTGTCAGCCTTTATCTCTTGCAACATAAGGGGAATTTTATCTCGGAGTTCTCTGGAAACAGTCTCTTCTGTTTTGGTTGTTTTGTTTTTAATGGTGTACTTGGTTTTTTGTTTTTTTTAATCTCGTTTTAATCTTGTTAATCTTTTTCAGTCCAGTGCAGTTTTGTCAATCACAAGAAGGGGAAAAAGATCGCCTCTTCTCTTTTGGATTGCCTCTGTGATCCCTTGGCCAAAATCAGTGTCCTTTTATGACTAACAATAAAGCAAATTCTTCTTTCCAGTTGCCCAAATGTTTATTTTCCTGCATAAAAGGCCTTGCTTCATCCTCAGGGTGCTTTCTCATTTCTCATTTGTGTGGGTGGGGTTAGTTTGCTGGGTGCTTTTGGTTGGGGTTTTTTTTTCTTTTTTGGCCGTTGTGAGATTCTAGATGCTGTTTTTCTGCCTATTAAATTTTCCTCCACCATTCTGCTCCCTCCCTTATCATTCTCCTTCCTGATCTGTATTGCCTTGAAATTTATTTGAAGCACAGGAAACCAGTGCTACAAAGGACCAAAGAAACTCTCATTTTATAATGAGAAACTACGCCCTTACTTCCTTCAACTTCAAAACTCAGGAAAGTAATATCAGGATGGGAATGTTTTAAAAATTTGTTCTCTCTCTCTCTCTCCCTCCCTCCCTCCCTATCTATCCCCCCCCCCAAGTTTAAGCTCTATGCTGCAGTTCTCAAATCTTGTGGTTCTGCAACTTCCCATTGTACATTGCACACATGAAGTGAAGGATGGGAGCTCAATCCTGCTCCATGGCAACACGTGGGTCTCAAATGCAGCTTGCTGTCCTATCCAGCACCCTAACCTTGGGAACTACCGTGCTCCTACCTGTTACATTACATTAAACAAGAGTGCTCAAACTATGGGTTAAGACCATAGGGTCAGTAGGGTAACTTTTTTTTGAAAACTTTGAAAACCTTGCACAGGGAGAGTGGGAGCATTGTCAACCATTGTTCTGGACTTGCTCCTCACATGAAAGAAACCCCCAGTTGGGTGTTCCCCAGGCAATGGTGATGTCACTGGCTAATCCTTTCAACAGCAATAGCACTTAGATTTATATACTGCTTTATGGTGGTTTCCAGCACTCTCTAAGAATCACCATATTCCCCCCCCCCCCAACAATCTGGGTTTTCATTTTACCAACCTCGGAAGGAGGGAAGACTAAGTCAATCTTGAGTTGGTCAGGATGACTATGTTGTAGTAATCACACATTCAACCTTTGTGAACCAGGATATGATTTTAGAGTAATATTTTTTTGTTTCCCCGCAAAAAAGGCTGTAACTTAGTGACAGAACAGGTTTTACATGAATGTTCACTATATAGTACTAACTCTATACTTATGCTTCACTACGAAACTATGTGATCGGGCTTAATTTTTGGGGAGGAAAATAAGGGAAAAAAATGTGCCTCGCCTACCAGCATCCATCGGTATTCATCTGGCTAGTGTCCTGTCAGTGTGTGAGAGAGTTTAAGGCTGTTTGGAAACTGAAAGAGTATTTGCTGTGTGAGCAAGAAGGAGACAGCAAGGAGCCTGGGCATGGCTTAGCTCAACTGTTCTGTACTAAAGCTGCTTGGTGCTGTGAAACTGAAACTCCTCTCTTCTGCTTGTGTTTTGCATTTGGAACAGATTTCTTTTCAGGTGGGGAGAGGGAGTAGAACTCCTTAGCACCAGAGTGTGTTAATAATGATATATGAAATACGAATAATGATAATATACGAAATGCTATGATGGTCATTTCGAAAAACCATTTCTTAGTGAGCACCTAGAAGCCAGGAGGAACATACGTGCCAAATTTCAAGTTTGTAGGCTTTACGGTTCTGGAGATTTTGTGATGATGCATGAGTG